GGGCAGTAGAAGTCGAGAGTCACGACACAGAGCCCTGGCACGCTGGAACAACTAGATCCCTTATATGAAAGCATCATATCCCCTCTAGAATCGTTATCGCTACACAAACGTTTCCCATAGTATCCGAGGATATCTGAGATGTGCAGCTTTGCAGAGCTACATAGAGAAAGCATAAACTTTTCACCAGGTAATCTGCACATCAATTCGAGAACAAGTACTGCGATTTCAATACATAGTAAAGCTCCTAATACCACCCATATAATTACTGGTGCTGAGTAGGGAATAAGGGAATATGATCCCTATATAAACCTTATACCTATCTACCATATTCCTCTATCCCCTACTAACCCCCATTCGTTTTATAGACTGGTCCTGGGTGAGGGCAGCGCCGAAAATAGACCGCCCTGGCATTGAAGGGTTTGGGGAGCAGAGTTTACCCTAAACCTTAAACCCCAAACCTGAAACCCTAAACCTAAAACCTTACACCTTACGCCCTGAACCCTGAACCTTAAACCTTCTTATAGACTGTTCCTGGGTGGGGGGTCTGAGAGCAGAGGTTGGTCCTGCTTTCTTCATCCGCAGTCCAACCGACCGCGGCTGCTGAGGAGTTGCTGGATTGCCTTTTCAGAATTTAGGGTTTAGGGGCCGGGGAAAGAAGGGTTGAGGGTGCAGGCCTTAGGTCCGAGGGTTTGGGTTTAGGGCGTGTACTTGCGCAGGGCTGAGTATCCATGCGCAAATGGCGCCACCCACTTCCAGGGATCTGTGGGTGGCGGCACATCCTGCTCCTAGCGAGCCTGGTGGATATTGCTTAGGAAGCCATCGAAGCCATTTTTTTTCAAAACCCCCTCCCGCTGTGAGACATTACAGGCTACCACCCAAATTGCTTCCTGTTAGGGTTTAGGGCTACGCCCTCAACATCGTAGACGTTTTGAGTACTACTGGGTGGCTGGAAGCAGAGCTGTGCTTCCCGATGTACGGGAAGAGCCCGGAGAGGCTCTGTTCGTCCATTCTCCATTTAGCCCGCACGGGTGTATAGGCTGACGTGTTTTTTCAGTGTCTGACCACCCTAGAAATGGGTGGGAACGGCCTAAGCAGGCCAGGTGGGAATTTAGACTTTAGGGGGCAAAGTTTGGGGGTTTGGGGTCTGGGGGCGGCTTCTCTAAACGGAGCGTATAAGCAGGCCTGTTATATGGATGGGGACACTTTTGAGACCTTACGTGGCACAAAAACCTTAAAAACCAAGCTCTCACATCCACTGCAGGGGGTCCTTGGGTCCTTTGTTTCACGGGCGGGCTTTGTAGGGCAGGCATTTGTGCCAACAAAGGTTTCTCGACACTTGCGAGCGCGGCCTTGTGATGGCTGCGCGGATGTTGGTAGATGCTGGCGTGGACAAGAATAGCCGGTACCCAGAGGGCCATACAGCCCTCTCACGCACAGTTCTTGCAGGCCAAGTGGAAGTCGTGCGGATGCTCCTAGAAGTTGGTGCTGAGAAGAATGCCGCAGACCGTAAAGGCAACACAGCCCTGACGCACGCGGTTCGCAATGGCCATCTGGAGACTGGGTAGGCCCCTGGGAAATTTGATATTTTCCCTAATGGTTTTAATAAGTAGGGACCCTACATACGAATATTTTTCAACAGGATTTAGGGGCCAACCCAGGAGATTGCCTTATTGCTTCTACAGGCTTGTGCTAACATGGAGGTGGTTTCCGGAGACAGCGGCATGACCCTTCACTGCTCTTGGCTCATGGGTTGGTCTTTTGGTGTTTGGGTTCCTGCTGCAGGGTAAAAAGGAGCATGAAGCCCCAATGCATTGAGTCTCTTGTTGTCTGTTGCAGGGGAGTGTGCGTGGAGGGTCAAGGCGATTTAGGAGGCATATTTATAACGTCTATGATCATATAGAAATCCCCGTTGACCCTGTTATTAACTTACTTGCTTAGTCCCCTGACTGTCCAAGCAGGACCCCACTCATTTTCGCGGCTCAGAATGGCTCTGCGGAGCTCGTGCGAGCACTTTTGCAAGCTGGTGCTGGCAAGGACGTAGGCTGGCGATTGTCAAAGCAATTGGGTTTGGAAGTTTAGGGTTTGGGGTTTTAGGTTTGTATGGTATTTAGGTTGTCAAAATTGTGATCCGCTTCTGAGTCCCGATAAGAATACGGCCCCTGAATTTCAGTGTGCCCCCAAAAGGGGTCATTATTTTGGTTAACCCCCCGTACATCCCCATATAACCCGCTGGTGATCTCCGAGAATACTTGAGGAGGCATCATCCAGGAAAAAGCTTACATAGGGTCCTTTTGAAGCGGTGATAGGGATGTATCGGGTTAGGGTTGAGTCCCTAAGCCCCAAAACTTTAAGCCCTCAACCCTAAGCCCCTAACTCCTAATCCCTAAAAGCTAAACCCCACATCCTCAACCCTAAATCTCAAATCCTAAACCTTACCAGCCAGGAGATCTGGATGGGGAGACAGCCCTCATGAAAGCAGCTTCGAAAGGCCACGTGGAAGTTGCAAAGTCATTGTTAGAAGCTGGCGCCAACAAGGACGGTTTAGGGTTAAGGGGTTTAGTGAATGTAGAGTTGAGGGGCTTGGGTTGGGTGGAGCTGGATTAACAAGGGTGGCCAAAGAAAAGCCGGAATTGATACGGCCCACTATTTATAGGACGTCCTGAAATTAGTGTATTTCCCCAAAAGCATCTGCAATTACTGAGATGAACGGATTGTCCCAGGGCAGATGTAGCTATAATGAGCTTCACATACACAAGTTTGGGGATCCGTGTCTTCATGTCAGCAGTCGTTCGAGTTTCTACAAAAGGGTTTAGAATCCCCCTTAAGTAGATAGAATATGGCTTTGGGTATATTATAATAAGATTCCCAGATACCCCATATTCTATAAGCTTAAGGGGGACTATAGGCTTTAGCAGGACATGCGGGATGACGACAGCGAGACCGCCCTCATGTATGCAGCTCGCAATGGCCACGTGGAAGTTGTGCAGCTGTTGTTGGACGTTGGCGTTAACAAGGACATTGAGGACGACAATGGCCAAACAGCTCTTGCGAAAGCAGTTCAATATGGCCACCTGGAGCTTTCAAAGCTGCTACAGGAAGCCAATCCAGGCTGTCCTGATAAATCAACACGAAATGGGCTCGCCAGTACAGCCATTTCGCCCTTTCCTTTTTTCCAAAAATGTGCCACACCACAAGCAAAGACCTTTCTCCAATAGCTTACTGAAATCCTGCATGACTCTAAGTCCCTAAGCACTTTGTACTTTGTGAGTTATGGCTTTTCAGTATGCTACAATCATGCAGGATGCTTTTTTTAGTATCGACAGTAATTGTTAGAACCTGCAATCCCAAAGACAATATGAAAATCGATATCCGGCCCTTTCGAAGTCTTATGACACAATACACATGTGTCTTACAATCTTTCTACCCAGCGACAGGAAGGCTACAAAGAGCGACCACAGGCGTAGTACCTTTATAGAAATATTATCGTGCCCACGATAGTGTACACTGCTTGGACTATAGTCCCCCTTAAGTGGACTATGGGGTATATGGAGATCTTATTAAAATATAACCAAAGCCCATATTCTATCGACTTAAGTGGGACGATATGTTCTCCTTTGCGTTACGGGTGCAGTGCTAGATAAGAAAGTTTTCTCATGCTTGGTTCAACCACCACTTAAAACTGAAAACCTAGACCGTAAACCCGAAACCCCACACCCCAAATAAATCCTCAAGCCTGGACCCTATTGGTTTAAGGTTAAGGGGGTTTAGTGTAGGGTTTAGGAAACCTAGCCAGGTAGTGGCTGCAGTGACAACGATATCCAAGACGTTACTTCCCCGGTCACCTGTCGAGCGGCTCGCAATGGCAAGGTGGCACCTGCCTATCACGGCTTGTCAGACCTGCTGCCAGACAGTCTGAGAAGAGGTAGTGGTTAGGGCAAGGGGGTTTATGATATGGGGTTTAGGGTTCAGATTTGAGGATTCAGGGTTTAGGATTTAGGGTTAAGGGTTCAGGGTTTAGGGCTTAAGGTTTAGGGTTTGAGGCTCCGGGTTGAGGCTTGGAAATCTTAAGGGACCTTGGGATTATGGGCATCTCTTTATGGAGTCTATAGGAAATAGCGTGAGAAGCACCCCATTCTTGTTCGGGCATTGGGGGTTCGTTGCACACTCACACTTAGAGGGTCAAGGAGACTGGGAGATTCAATAAGCAGGTGAGGTTAATAATGGGGATATCGGATATAGGGATTAGAAGTATGCTTACTGAATCCCCCTGACCCTCAACCCTAAACTGCAGCAGGGTTGAGGCTCTCACGCAAACAGCCAAGTTGTTCAGCACATGTGTTCAGAAGAGAACGCAGCTGACGCGATGAGAAAAATGGCTTTGAAGACCTTGGGAATAATGCTCAGCCCTCAGTGGTAGCATTCATTGGGGATACCCATCAAAACTGGTCACCCCATTATCAGATTCCAAGTACCCAATACTCCCGAACCTTATTACATATTACAAGCACCAATACCCAAACTGCAATTACCCAACCATTGGGTACTTGGACCCTTAGGGTAAGGCAACCACAGGAAGGAAGTTACCATGTAGGGACCGTACATAAACCTTATAGACCCTTCAATAGCTCCATGCTCCTTATATAGCCCGTATACCCTAAACCCTAAACCTTATAGACCCTTCAATAGCTCCATGGTCCCTATATATCCCTTATACCATGTATATAAACTACCCCCCATTGGAAAGTTCCCTCCTGTAGTTGGCTCTACCTTAGGCTAAGGGTCGTAGGGCAGAGAATACCTTCCATCTCTCGATTTGGTTGTCAACGGATCTTTTCCAGAGGGTCCTCTTTGACTTGGGTGGGTCTAGGGTTTACGTTTCAAGGTTTAGGGTTTAGGATTTAGGGTTTAGGGCGTAGGGTCTGGGGTTTTAGGGTGTAGGGTTTACAGCTTAGGGTTAGGATTTGGTGTTTATCAATCCCTTCCCTCTAATATCAGAACCCCCATGCACCCCAATATAGCATCATGATATATCGGGAACAGTTAATAGGGGGGGGGTGTTTTGTTAGGGGGCCGGATTGCCAATATTATGGTTCCAGATTCCGTGTCAATCATACTGGTTAACTATTCCCCTGCACATCCAAGTAGACATTGAATTCTGGATGAAGGGTTGTCCTACACTTCCTAAGGGTTTCCCTGTTTTAAGGAACAGATACTACCCTAAGTCCTTAACCCTAAGCCCTAAATACTCCGCAGGATCGGTGTCGTTGTTTTTGGGTGTACCTCTGTCAGCGCTCTCCAGGACAATTTTGAGAACTTGAGATTCGGTGTTGGGATCTGGGTTTCTGGGTTTAGGGTTCAGGGTTTAGAGTTTAGGATGAGGGTTCAGGGTAAAAGTTAAGGGCCTAGGGTCTAGAATCTAGAGCCTAGGCGTTGGGTCCTGGCCCCACCCAGCAATAATGGGATAGCATTTATATTGTAGCTGTTACTGGGTGGGAACAGGACCCAGAGCCTAGGACTTAGGCTAAGGAGTGCTAGGCACCGCAGCACGTCTGACCCGGATCTTTGCACAGTCTGGAACGAAAGGCCAAGCTCTCTAGCCTCCAAATCTGTGTTTGCACTCTTCCAAAATCCCATGCCCTTTGGCCCCACACTCAACACTTCTAAGGAACTTTGTCAGAACGATGGTCGCTCTTTTTCAAACCGGGTTGGAGGTTTCCGAAATTCGGGGTCCTCGCGGGGGTCCCTATGAAAAGGTCTGTAGATTTTTGGACGGTAGATGTAAATACAGTGGACCCCTGTTTTTGGAACGCTCCTTCCTGCAAGCAGCAAGCCGTAGAGTCAAAGGCACTTGTCAGTTCAGCTGTCACTTGTTCTTGGAAACTCCCAGACATTAGGTGCCGCTTATAATTCGAATCCACGAAGGAATAATGACGAGACAACCTGCCATGGACACCTAGCCAATCCAAAGCTCAAGACCTTCCTGAATTCTTTTTTAGCGAAAAGAACAACCATGGGCCCCCCGTCATGGGCCCTGAGTCCTCGGGTCCTTTAAAGACCCCTGATATCAAATCGGTACCCTAAGTCCCAAGCCGTTGGGGAAGGGAATTAGATCTTCAGCCCCCAAGCGCAAATCCCTGCCCCTCTAAGCCTGAAACCCCTGAAAACTAAACCCTCTTCCCCACACCAAACCCTTGCAAGGATATCCAAATTCCAAAACTCAGACCCTAAGCCCAAAACCCAAAACCCTAAACGGCCCTAAACCCTAAACTGGAGCGAAACCCTGAATGAGAAGCTGAGGAAGTCGATTGGCTTCACGAGCGAGGCTGACATCGATAATCGCATCGCCTCCATCGAGTTCCAGCCGATCAGGGCATGTTTCGAAGGGTTTGGATGTTTGCATGGGGATTTAGGGGAAGATTCTCACCCCCCCAAACCCTAAACCCTAAACCCCAAAGCCTCTACCCTAAGCCCTAAACCCTCAGTCCCCTCTCTCTCCTCTGGAGGGCCAAGACTTGGATGAGGCTTGAGGCCAGGTAAGCCAAGACTCAAATTAAAACCAGCAGTCTCCTAGACCTTCTTAACGGTATTGTTGTAGGTAACACTAGTGCTTCGTAATATCTAGAGGGGCCTCCAAAAACAATCCTGCTTGGTGACGATAATCCTAGTAACAACAGACAAATTATTGCTTGTGGTGGGGGTCTGAGGCCGGTTTAGATTTATCTACCCTGTGCATTGTGCCATGGCTTAAGTTTCTTCAGAAGTTCAACTCTGCACCTGACTTCAGTCTAGGATTCAGGATTTAGGGCTTAGGGTTTAGGCTTCAGGGTTTAGGGCGAAGAAACTAGGATTTAGGGTGTTAGAAATTGAGGGGATTAGGATTTAGGATTCATGAATTAGGATGTAGGGCTCAGGGATAAGGATTTAGGGTTTAGGATGGGGGCCTTGAGTGGTGCCCAGCAGACATGCCGATCCTAAGACCCTTCAGAGCATGAGAGATAGAGGGGCTTGGGGTTGCTTACTGGTTCTCAGCAGCAGAATGTAAGGGAGCATACCTCCTATGTAGTCGCCACATAAGATACTCCTTTCTTCCCTAAGAACCCGTGAGGTGAAAGGACCTCAAGTTTACGGATTAGGGTTTCGAAGTCCAAAGAGCTTGAAATTCCCTAACCCCTGGGAGCCTGGAGATGGAAATCCACAGCCCAGGTTTAGGGTTTAAGGCTTAGAGTTCCTCATCGTATTTCCCCTGAGCACTAAACCCTACGTAAACTAGTTCTCGCCTTGAGCGCCACGCCTTAGGAACGTAATCCCTTCAGATTAGCACTTAACATCCCCGAGCCCTCATATTCAATGTTTCCCATATAGAGGGGGGGCATCTTTTGAACATGGGGTTGGGGTTGTTTAATGTCGAGGGGGTGTAATACCATCATGAAAGGGTCACATACAAGTGCTTTTTGCACCATGTCTAGTGGTAGGTAGTACTCACAAAGTCATCATCATCTCTCAGACGGTGCTGCTCCACAGGAACAGCGTATGCAAACTCGAGTCTCCCATACCCTAAACCCGCAACCGTCACCCGATGTAAGCTTCACCCGCAACCCTCAGCCCGTGCGCCCAAAATTTCAATGTCCAACACCAAACCGAGGTTCCTCAACCCGGCAGTGGATACTAAAATTCCCAATGGTTCCAAGTACCTCATACATTGGGAAGCATGATGCTGCAGTATGCTAAGGTCATGCAGATGTTTAGTATCAACAGTTGTGAGTAGATCACAGAGGGACCTCTGAGCATCTAGAAACCCTGAATCCTCAAATCCTGAACTTTACACCCAAATCCCTAAAGCCGCACCTGGAACTTCAGGTAATTGGCACCCAATTATAACTAGGTACCCCAGTACTACCCTTTTGCCCTTTTTATTTTGGGGTCTCCTTATAAAAGCTGAACAGCAGGAAAAAGGGTACCTCATGGGTTACTGGGGAACCTAGATGAGCCCCCCTCGTCTCCTTTCTGAGTTCATAATTGACTGTCGTCCGTCCAGGCTATGCACCGAGTCGGTCCCACTGAAGGCGCCTCTCCTTGGGGATGAACGCAGGGGCCTGGATAAGTGGGAACATTCTTCCTGCCTTATGATACCATGTGCCCCGAAACTTCTACTAATCTCTAAACCTAAACCCTAAACCCCTAAGCCCTAAACCCCAAACCCTAATAATTTAAGCGCAAACTATGTGGGGGGCAAGGCTTCGAGATTACGGGATGGGGGCTTTAGAATTAGGTCTCGCAATCGTCTTCTGGATTTCAGTGGAGATTTCACGGCGGAGCTCAAAGACCTAAGCGCCAAACAGCCCTAAAGTTTAACTCAGGGGTTCCCCTACTTACCCCCATATACCTCCCCTGCATAAGCATTCCTTAGCCCCACGCAGGGATAACATGAATTCAGGGGGAACCTCGGGGGGTTTGTACATGGAGGTGTAGTCGGTGAACCCATGATGAACCCCAGGAGGGAAGACCAATTCAAACCCTAAACCCCCGAAGCCCTAAACCCCCAAACCCTAAACCCCCAAAACCCTAAACCCCAACACCAAAAACCCTAAACCCCAAAACCCTAAACCCCCAAATCCTAAACTACTTGCCCCGCTCCCATGGGCAGACGTAAGAAGTCCAACGGGTTGAAAACAAAGACGACTTGCCTCTGCTTACTGTAACTGACGAAGGGAATCCTTCACCACCCTGGTTTATGGTTTAGGGTTTACTACAGGGTTCCTGAAAATGCATTTTAATATCTGTTACCTAGAATCC